ACGTGCCCCCTCAGCCTCTTGAGAACAGCGCGAGCACCCCAGCCGCATCTCGGGAGCCTTGGTGGTACCCTGCGCCCTGCGCTTGGCGTTTCCGGCTGCACCGAACCAGGCCCAGTGCAGCCCTGAGAAACTCCCACCTTGCCGTTGGCCATGGCGGAGGGGTTAGTGGCCGTGGAACAGCTGACCGAGGAAGGAGGAGATCTCGGGTTTCTCGGACATCCAGAGGCCACCGAGCCCGGCCCCTCCTTTTCCGGGCTCGTAAGGTGCTGCAGGGCGGAGCTGGTTCGGAGCCCACCTGGATCCTGAGCTGGGCTGCCTTTCCTCTCTTGGGGGTCATCTCGGCCTTTTCAACCAAGGTAGAAGATGGATCGATCGTTGTGAGATCAGAGACCTTAGGAGAGAGGAGGAAGGGAGGAAGAGGGGCTGACTGACTCCCTAGACAGCCAGGAAAGCTTAGCTAGGGGGGCACACAGCAGAGAGACCACCTCCTTAATCAGGGCGAGGGGTGGCGAGTGAGAACAGTGAGGATGGCAGGGAGCAGTTGGAGGATGGTGTGATGGTGTGACGACCACCAAGTCCCTGAACGAAGGGCCAGCCAATTGACTGCTCATTCGCGGGGCTCCTCCTCCCGGTCACTGCCAAGTCCCCGACCCACCGAGGCCTGGGCCTCCATCTGTGGGGACAGCGTGGGATTAAAATATCAAGGAGGGGGGCTGGAGAGATAGCACAGCGGGTAGGGTGTTTTTGCCTTGCACGCGGCCGACCCGGGTTCGATTCCCAGCATTCCATATGGTCCCCCGATCAGCGCCAGGAGTAATTCTTGAGAGCAGAGCCAGGAGTAACCCAAGAGCATCGCCAGGTGTGACCCCAAAAGCAAAAAATAAGTATATCAAGGAGGAGCCACGTTGGGCGCGCTGGTGGGGTGGGCAGGCAGTGAGGACGGGCTGCCCAAGCTCTGCCACCCCTCCCCACCACATCTCAGATCTCAGATGTTCACAGCCCACCCGGCAGGGGTGGTGGGGGGTGGGACGCCTGTTAGTGATGACCGCCACCGCCCCCCCCCCTCCGGCTGGTCCATCGCTTTCTGAAGGCCAAGGGAGAAAGATGGATTCTCGAGGTGCTGTGGGGCGCCCTGAGGAGAAGAGGGAGAGCTGGGGGGTGGGGGGGTGGGGGCGGCCAGTCAGGGAGCTGGGAAAATGCCTCTCTGGGCGCCTAATGGACTGGGCTGGGGGTGCGATTAGCGGTCCAGCCTGCGTGCACGCGCGCCCCTCCTTTTTGATCCTGTAGTCGGCAGCAGTTATAGATGAAGTGACAAGGACTGGTCTCTTGATTGTATCCAGCTGCCTTGAAATGGGGCCGCCACAGCGGGGGGTGGGGGAGGCTGGGGGAGGGGCGTGGGCAGGGGGTGCCGGAAGCCTGGCACTCGTGGAAGGTTGGCTCCCCGGGAACCCAAAGCGCAGGACGCCTTGGCTGCTCCGGGCAGCCGTGCCCACCACCCACCCACCCACCCACATGCACCCCAGTATCTGGGGAAGGAACCAAGAAGGGATCCAGGTCACTGACAGGCAGAGAGGGCTGATTGAATTTGCGCCGTAAGTCACGTCAGCAAAGGGATGGCTGCCGCTGGCCGGGAACTTGAACCCTACACGAGCCTCTGGGAAAGTCGTGGGTGAGTGGGGGGCTTTGTGCGGGGATTCCTCAAGGAACTGGGAGAGTGCAACTTTCACCAGATACCCACAGAATGGAAGACCCGTCTCCTCCCCCCCACCCAAGGGACCACCCCGGCCACCTTGCTCATCCCTGGGATGGAGTGGGCACAGCAGGAACCCTCCAGACCCCTCCCCCCTTTCGTCCCAGCTGTTTGCAGTGACGGAACTGGGGGGGATGGTGTGTGCCATTGGGAGCCCCTTTAATTTGGGGGCCTCTCTCTCACATTGTGCTGGTGATGCCATTGGGGTGGGGGTGGGGGGCCCCTTACACAAGTGTTTGGTGTTGGGGAAAGGAAGCAGGCCAGGCCTCTGCCTGGGGTGCCCCCTCCCCCGGGAAGTTAGGACTCTCCCCAGCTCCTGCCGCTTTGGGCCCTCTCAACTGGCAATCATCCCCTCTTGGTGCCGTCTTCCTGGGGACAGCGTCCAGAGTTTCTGCTCTGGCGTCTACAACGGCAGCACACACGGTGGACACTGCCGCCTCCATCCTTGCAGAACTTAGGGCTCCGGGCTTCCGTCCTCTCACCCAGAGCCTGTGTCCTGGTGCTATGTCTCTGTCCCTGTGTCCGGGTCCTGTGTCCAGGCCCGGTGTCCATACCCTGTGTCCTGACCCTGTGTCCAGGCCCCCCTCGGCATGGGGCACACCCTCACATTCGGGAGAGCACTGAGATGATACGGGTTCAGTTGTCCCAGAGCGTGGGGTCCCACAGGAGGGAAGCAGGTGATGAATCCAGAAGGAGCCCCAACCCTGATCAACCCCTCCACGGAAAGTGGGCTGAAGATAGGCCTGGGCTGAGGACCGGCCTGGGTGTAGTTTCCCCTAGAGGGGAAGGTCGGAAAAGGCCTTCTGGAAAAGGGTGAAGCATTTGAGCTTAGAAGCAGGAGCTAGCGTGCAGGAACCAGCATTTGAGGGGCTGGGGCGTGGGACGGGTCCACTTGTATGAATTCCAAGCTGGGTACAGCCACCGAGGTAAAGGCCCTCCCGTTGATTGTCGATTTGCTCGAGCGGGCCCAGTAACGTCTCTATTGGAGACTTTGTTGTTACTTTGTCTGGCATATCGAATACTCTCGGTAGCTTGCCGGGCTCTCCGAGAGAGGCGGAGGAATCGAACTCGGGTCGGCCATGTTGGCCGCTTGTAAGGCAAACGCCCTACCGCTGTGCTATCGCTCCAGCCCTGAAGCTGATGGTGCCAGAGCAATGGCAGGGAAGGTGAGAGGTCGTATTGGGGCCACGGGACTTGTGAACAGATGGGGTGGGGAAAGGCAGAAGGAAGAGGTAGGGGAATAGCTTCGGGGCTTGAGCATCTGGGGAGAGCGGGTATTGAGATGGAGATCCTTGAGAGAAGGGCTCCGCTTGGATATGGAGTCCTATGTCCAAGGAGCAGCCTTGGTCGGATGCCACCATCAGTTTGAGACCCAGCGGGGGGGGGGGGGGGGGGGGATATTCAGTAAGTTATTGGTTATCTTCTCCGGGATGTTCCAGGCCAAACCTCCACGCGGAGGTCTTTGGGAGGTATTGAAAGTGGCTGAAATGACACCCCAAAGGAGAGAGAGAGAGAGAGAGAGAGAGAGAGAGAGAGAACAAAAGGGAATGCCCTGCCACAGAGGTAGGATGGGATGGGGGAATGGGGGGTGGGAGGGATACTGGGACTGGTGGTGGTAGAGAATGGGCACTGGTGGAGGGATGGGTGTTCAATCATTGTATAACTGAAACCCAAGCACAAACATTTGTAAGTCTACAACTGTACCTCATGGTGTTTCACTAATTAAAAAAAAAAAATTTTTTTTTAAAAAAGTGGCTGAAATGAGCTGAGATTACTTAGTCCAGAGAAAGAGAGGGGCCAGAAGGGCCAGGGACTGTAGTCTAGAGGCTGGTAAAGGATGGGCGATGCTCAGTGTTTACAGTAGTCAGAATCTGGAAAAAAAAAAAAACCCAAGTGCCCAAGAACAGATGACTGGTTAAAGAAACTTTGGTATATCTACACAATGGAATCCTATGCAGCTGTTAGAAAAGATGAATTCTTGAAATTTGCATATAAGTGGATCAACATGGAGAGTATCATGCTAAGTGGAATGAGTCAAAAGGAGAGGGACAAACAT